GTAGGGACTATGTTAAGCACTCAATATATTCAACAAATGTTCCTACTTTGTGCCAGGTAAAGATGAGGTTCTGGATTCTGACTATATTGGATGGATCAAGACAGAATTCTCACCTTCATAGGGCCTAGTAAAGAAATCAATAAGGCTTGGAAATAATCCTGGGTAAGCACATTAGGTGTGGTTACTGGCACGTGAAACAGACTATATGTAAATTCATCAAAAATCTACTAAATTTCTGAGGGAACTGTATTGCCAAAGAAATCTTGATCCCAGTCTTAAAAATCTTCTGACAGTTTAAGCCTTAAAACAGTATTTGAGCCCACCAACTAATATGAACAAGAAACAGGCTATAAATACTGTGTAATCCCCCAAAAGAGTGGCTGTTTCAGATGTGGTCATGGAAAACAATGGACCAAGAAGAATCTTTCAAAAGAACAATGGACAGCAGGGTTTCTCCCAAAATAGAGATCCAGTGTCTAATCACAGAACTTCCTTCACTGAAAAATACCTTCCCAGCATGAATTCATCATTGCAATCAACCAGTGAATACTGTGTTTCCCATTCATCCCTTTTCTGAATGGCAGTTCTTATGGTATTTTTCCTGGCTCAGTCTTATCACTGTATAACTGTATATTTTATCTGTGTGTGTGTGTGTGTGTGTGTGTGTGTGTGTGTGTGTGTGTGTGTGCGCACATGCACACTGTTTTGGGGGTGTAGGGGAGATACCTTACCTTGATCTTCATAAGTTTGTCAGACCTCAAGGGACTACATCCTGACCTTACAGAGAGGACTGAGCATCATGCATAGATCCAAGATTTTGAGCTAGAAGCAGTAACTGGAGGAAACTTTGGGTGGTGTCCCTCATGGAGGGGTCTGTGTGTGTTCTATATATGGAACAAAAGATGCATATGAATATCTCATGGCCAGAAGGTGGACTGTGGCAGAAACTCCAAGTTGCTCATTCCTCTTCTTCCCAGGTGCACAGCTAGACCCTGTTCCCCATCCTCCCTGGCAGTTAGGTGTAACCAACTGATGACTTCTCACCAACAGTGCATGAGCAGAAGTACCATGTGTCATTTTTGAGCCAAGACTTTTAAGGAAGATATAAGCCTCCTCCACGTTCTCTTGCCCTTTTCTCCCCTAAGGGATGATCTCCCCTAAGGGATGGCAGAACCACAGATGAGAGGACCTTGCACAGCTGAACCATAGTGTGGACTGGGCAAGAAACAAACTTTTATTGTACTGGGACCATTCCATACTTTGGATCTATTTGTTTCCATAGTGTAGCCATCAAAATAAGTTCGATTTGTTTTATTTCCTCCAAGGGTCAGGGATCAAGAATCAGTAGATATAAGCTTATAACTGTAACTCTCTCCTAAGGTTTTGTGGTGAACAATCATCCCAATATGACTCTCATTGGCACATGGTTTTAATAGTAATAACTAAGTAGAGTTAAAGTTAATGTCTGCAAAAGTAATGGTGGACATATCCTTTTCATATGTATCTGCAGGGACTTCTTGGTCAGGCATTTGTGATTAACAGTGACCAAACGATTCTCACGGGCTTCCCTAATGAGATATATAAATACATCCACCTATTCCACCATAATTCTTTCAGTCTAAAGGCAATTCTTTTACTTTGCTACCCAAACAAGACTTATCTTTTCCCTCCTTTCCCAAGACATTTACACGAATCCATTTGCAAGGCCCAGATAATCTGTGTAAATTTGATGACTGTACTGACAAGTGGAAGTTTTTGATTCATAGGTAATTTAAACTAAACTTTCTGAAATCCAAAGAAAACATTTAAATTTTCTATGCTGCTCAGGTCAAGGCAAGTTATGGGGTATAGGGCATGGGGGAGGTAGGAAATCTTGTTGATATTTCTATATGTCTCTGTGTCAAATATGCAGCCTTAAA